GTGGTAAATGGCCGCAGGACCCGGATGGGCCCGGGGCGCGCTGGGAGCTGTAGTCCTGGCCGCGGGGCGCGCTGGGAGCTGTAGTCCTGGCCGCGAGCCCGCCCCTTCATTAGGAGGGACGGTGTTAATTGCGCGGCGGGAATCGGGAGGTTAATTAGCGCCACTGCGAAGGCAGAGAGGCCAGGGAAAGTCAGTCCGGGGACGATTAGCAGTGTATTACCATCCTGACCCACAGCCCCGTGCTGAGCACGGTTAGGTTAAGTGCCTGCAGTAATTTGCTAACGAGGATTCAGCCTCTCTCATCCTGGCCCTTTGGCCTGCCTGGCACAGTGCCCCCGCTGTCCCCTTTCTAGCTCGGGAATGGCACATACGCGGCCACGCGTCTGCTCCCGCAGACCAAAGCGCAGGACCCGGCTCCGCAGGGGCAGCGCGGGAGGAACAGGGCAGCAGCCGCCCTGCTCGTGCGACAGCCGCCACGTTCCCTGCCAACATCCCTCCCAGAACGCCGGGCACGAAGAGGCAGCGTCGCTCTGGCAGGTGTCAACTGAAAACACAGTCCACCCCAACCATGAAACCCCCGACACGGGTCTGCCTGGGGTGTCCTAGGAGTTGTGCTTCTACTGCAGAGAACAGCAGCAGAACAAGCCAGCTTTCCCCTCCTTATTAACAGTGCATCAACAATTAGTGCAGCAAGAGATTCCAATTTAATTACAGCTCGTGTTTTCGCAGGTTTATCTGGAAGTCGTGCTTACAAGTCACACTAACTTTACACTCAAACAGCAGCCACTAATGAGAGCTCTCAAAGGCCACCCTCAACCATCGCAACTCCTTGCACATTCCTAGTGGGAAAGACGCGGCTGGTTGCTGCTGCTCAGCACAGTTTTCCTTGGAGGAAGGGCTGGATTCTTTGGCACCCTGTGACACAGAGGCCTCATGGCCGCAGCACTCAGTGGCTCAGGGACTTCCTGCCCTTGAGCATGCGCCGCAGGATGACCTCGATGCCGGCCGGGGTGCTGATGCGCTTGGTCCAGCCGTGCGTGCGCTTGCGCTTGCGATTGTTGGGCTGGTACGTGTTGCCGCGCGCCTTCGTGCGGACCTGCTGGAGGCTCCAGGCGGACGCGGGGCCTGCGAGGCCTTGGCTGATGTCTGCAGGCTTCAGGGAGAGGCCGCTCCTCGGAGGCTGCTCCACGGAACTCATGAAGATTGAAAAAGTCCGGAGACAAGGAGAAACCACAGCTTGCTGCGGAAGAAAGAGACTTGGGGGGAAAAGAGAGAAAAGAATGAGAAAAATGAGAAGATATCACAGCAATATCCCAGAGCTCGGACACCCAAGGCAGCACAGCGGGCGCCAGCACTTTGGGCCTCGTGAAGCAATGCACAGAAAGAGGCCCCTTAGGGATCTGGCAAGAGCGGCGAGGGCAGAACCGAACCCGATGCCCCGGGAGGGGCCGCCCCGCCCCGCCC